AGAAACAAAGCGCCTGGTCGGTGTTCAAGTTTTGGGTGTGCAATTCTGGATTCCTTTTCCGGACGCGCTAGTCCTGATATGGTGGATTTTTGCACTCTGCGGACGCTAGTACCTGGCACGCCTGAATATGCACGTCACGGAGTTATCGTACAAAACCGTATAATCTCGATATAATGGGGCTAATGGTGTGTGGGATGGATTGGATTATCTCGGGCTCGGGAGGGAGAAGAGGCCGAAAGGATTGGGAATTCGTCATCGTGATGAGTTGGCCATGGGTTGTGGTGGGGGAGGAGTGCATAGCTGGTGGTGCTAGTGGAGGTAGGGAAGTGTGTATAAAGAGAGCATGTGTAGCCATGTTTCTTTTATTGTCTATATTGAAGTACAGCGACTGCGTATTTCGGTTTTCAGATCCAGTCCAGGAGCTTGAACTCAGTTCATCGTTGCTTCCCCCCTTCCTACTCCAACTAAATATTATACTTCACTAGCTCTCTTGTTCTCATATCTCACATCATCTTCTAAATTTTGACCTCCATCCCCCAGATATCAGACACACTTCACCAATCCAATCCTCCAACCCACGTCTCAAAGCAATGGCTGACCAAGCCCCCGACCCGAACATGTTCACGCTGCCCTTCCAACTCACCAAGAAGATGCGGCGCGACGTGTACCCGGCCGTCGACCCCATGCAGCCGGAACTCGCTGCCGTTGCGAAAGGGAAGGTTGTTATGATTGTGGGAGCTGGTGGCGGGATTGGATTTGTACGTATATGGTATCTTATATTGCGTTGTGTACGACACATCACGCGCTCATCTTCTCTCTACTTTATCTTCATCCCTCCTGCCTCTTCCCCAACATTTCAGTCTTCCCACTAACCAACCCAGGCCGTTGCAAAAGCCTGGTCTCTCACCTCAGCCAAGGGCATCGTGCTCGTTGGCCGTAACGTCTCGGCGCTTGAATCCACAGCCCGGGATATTGGCGCTGAGTCCAAAGTCCCGATTCTTATCGTCGATGGCGACATCACGTCCGCCGAGTCCGTGGCTTCTATCTTCACCAAAGCGATTGATAAGTTTGGAACCGTGGATACAGTTGTCAAGGCGGCGGGACGCTCGGAACTTGCGGTTGCGCCGGTCGGGCAGATTGAGGCGGAGAGCTGGTGGCCTAATTTTGTAAGTGCTTTTCGAATTTCGGCAGTTGAGATTGAGATTGAGATCTGGCGGTATGGACTGGGCTGTATAGTACTGCACTGTACGCTGAGATGAGGTGTTGTGGGTGCTTGATGTCCTCTGGACGAAGAGTGCTAATGTGTGGATGGAATGTATAGGAGATCCTCGTGAAGGGGACCTTCAATCTCGTGTCCGCACTCTCGAAAGCGACGACAGCAGCTGGGCCAAACAAGACCGGGACTTTCGTCAACGTCGTTAGTGCAGCCGCTGCAGCGGCGCGTCCGGGAATGTCGTCGTATGGTATTGCGCAGCTTGCTGCGACGAGATTGGGCGAATTTGTGGATCTAGGTATGATATATCTCCCCCTGCCCTTTCCGTTACTTTCTGTAGCGATTCTCCTCTATCACTCTCGCTTTATATACGTTCCCTCCACCGTACCACCAAGTAGCGGAACTCAGGCTGATCAATACTAGACTGTCCGCACATCCGGTCCTTCTCCCTACACCCCGGCATCGTAGCCGTCGAGAACAACCGTGGCGGCGTCGTCGAGATGTTCACGCCGTTCGCAAAAGACAAGGCGATGTTGACCGGGGGCATCAGTCTCTGGCTCCAGAAGCCCGAGGCCGATTTCCTGCGCGGCGGGTTCTTCAGCGTGAATTGGGATGTCGAGGAGATGCTGGCGCATAAGGAGGAGATTGTGGAAAAGAGGTTGGTGAAGTTGGGGTTTGTGGGCGCGGAGTTGGGCCCTGAGGGTCATCCTTGGGGGACGTAGACGGAAGAGTGGGAGTTGGGGGGAGAGTTGGAGGGTTGAGAGGTTGAATGGTTCTTGACGGTTGGTTATCGGAGGGCGGTAGACTCGAGTAGCTTTAGTCTGATACCTTCTGTCCTTCATTGAAATCTTCTGCTATCCCTGATATATCTGGTGAAACTCCGTGCCAATGCTCTTCTTGTATTCCTACTTCTTTTCTGCTACATTTAGAAGATTCGATGCGTTAGCAACTTGATTAGTAAGTTATAAACTGTTTAAGGGAAGAAGAGCAACAGGTCTAGCAACATGAAATTTCCAAGCCTTGTAAATAAGCGCAAGAATATATTGAATTTTGCAGCATCCAGCGCGCCGAAAACGCCAGACGGATATCGTATGCTAGTTCGTCCACATCATATCTACAATCCTCCTATGCATCATCATCGTCATAATTCCTCAAAAACTCCCACATGGCTCTCACCACCGCAACACCACCACCCTGCGTCTCGACCGTCCGCCCACGTCCCCGATCATTCAGATCGCGATTCGGATCCGAGGTCTCACGCCCCTTCATCCCGCCAACATGTGTCTCAGGGTCGATATCAGAATCCCATTCCGATTCTGTGTCGTGGAATAGAGTTTGAGGGTCATTTCGATAGTCTGTTGCGTTTTCGGGAAAGATAGCGGTGATGCCTTTACGAAGGAGGGTTTTGCGGAGTGGGTTTTCGCTCAGATCGTCGGCATTCGTGCCTGCGTTCACGCCCCACCATGTCCCGAATCTGCCCCTGGTATCCCGCGTCTTGAGGGCTGCGTTCGCATTGTGCAGCACCCATGGTGCATAGTCATTGCAACCCCGTCGATGCAGAGCCGAAATAGTCTTGTCCGCGAAAAAAGTCTTTCCGGGCATCGCTGCCGAAGTCGGCAACTTGGCACAGAAGATGGTCAAGTGGTGGAAGAAGATCCCTTTAAAGGTTTGTCCGTTCTGTGAACAGGTGCCATAGGGATCGCAGATTTCTGTGAGGACACCGGAGGACCCTATTCCTGACCATGGGGAGGGTTGCTTGGGTTGTGCTTGGCGCTGTTTGTGTCCGGGATTGGAATTCCGTGCCTTGGAGAAAGCGACGGTCGGGGCGATGTCTGTATCTGTCCACCCCGTAGCTCGAATAACGTCGCGAATGAGCTCGTGCCCGTCTTCGAGATACTCGACTCGTCCAGTGCCTTCCCATAGCCCCCTTAACCCGGAGAGTATGACACCTTGGTTGTAGGTGTAGACCATCTCGTTGCGCTCATCGCATTTGCCGGTCCCAATGCTGCCGTTCTTGCCGTAATCCATGATGTGAAAGCCATCGACATATAGACCCTGATCGTTCTTCATTCCGCTATTCTTGAGCCAGTCATAAGCGTTGACGGCAGCGGATAGGTATATCGGGTCGTATGTCGCTTTCCTCGAGTCGGACGAGCAAGAGTCAGAGGCTCCGAGTTCTTGGTTGCGAAGCAATTTCCAATCCAGGTTCTCGCCCCTGTCATGACCGCTCATGAAGGGGGAGCAGTTTGTGTCGCCTGGAAACTGGAGGTACATGCCAATACTCGCAGAGATGAAAAGTTCATTCGTAATGGCATTCTTATACGGCAATCGGGTATGTGGATTCCAGTTCATACCCCCGCCACACAATTTCCAGTCCCATCCTTTAGAAGCAAGATCGTAGAAGACGCGCGCACGATGAGCGAAAGCCGGGGCAAATTGCTTGCCATGCCAGTCAGACTCTCCAGCCGCTCGGTCCGGAGACGCTGGATAATGCATATCCGAATGTCCGTTGATGAATTGTATACTCTCCAACCAGCCCAAGACCACCCAAAGCATATCATCGTACGCCTGGTTCCGTATCGCGAAATGATCCTCCCCGAAATAGTATGTTATAACGTGCCCAAAGTATTTGTTTATCTCGTTCTCAATCATTTGCGCTTCGACATCGATCTTTCGGTCCTTGTCAAAGGTTCCTGGCATGGTGTATGGAAGGGAGTGGGAGAGCGAGTACAATGCCGCGGAGACATGGGTCCCCATGACGGCAGCGGTCCAGTCGATAGCTGTCGTCCACTTTCCGAGCCAAAGACTGAAATAAAAGTTCTGCATCGTAGAAAGCGCGGAATGAAGCTCTTGAAGCGGGTTGGTGATGGCGTAGGGGGAGATGAGGGGCTCGCCATTTTCGGGCCTCGAGTCTGGTGTTGATGGGATTGGTTCGTAAGGTTGCTGGATGGGACGAATAGGGCGAAGTACGTGCTGGCTTTCGGAACCATGACCGGAATTGAAGCCTATGTGAGAGGGTTGTGAGTGGTTTTTCGGGCTGAGTGAAGAACAGACGGAGCTCATACCGCTTGAAGGGCTGTCACCTCTGTACAACGCTGAAACGGAGGCAGTAAAGATTTCTAGGAGAAGGAAGACACTCCAGGCTAATCGCCTCGTCTTCCCAGCTCTGAAGTACGCCATTTTTTGTCGCTGGTAGCAGTATCACTGCCGATGGTCTCGAAGGCAGTATGGCTCAGCCTCGGTCTAATGCGATGCGATGGGAAGGCGGGAGGTTGCAAGCCGCTCTTCTAGAGAGCGGCGAAGTCGAAAATTTATGTGATGGACATGGACTCGGTAGCGGATTCTGAAGTTCTTCGTCCTGGTTACTGAGTTCCCCGGAGTGTTGAGCGTTGCGCCCACGCATTGGGGGAATGTGAGATTTTGACGTGGAAGGTCAACCCAAGCTTCCAAGATTCACGCCAAGGCTCAGCCGCTCGTCTGAATGCTCACGTGCGAGGGTCATGCTCCGTTCCTGGAACCTGCTCTTGTGACGCATTTCCCCGCAAAGGGTAGGCGTAATCTACATGCTAGCCAATGTGAAGTGGGCATGGAAGCGGTAAAGAAATCCTTCACCAAAAATAATCGTGAGATCGGGAACGAGGCTTGCGCCTTCCCCAGACTTGTGACCGCACACCCCACCTCCCTTGCCGCTCACTTAATATATGTGGTACTGGCCGTGACCTGGTCAACCAAAAAATACTTACACATCAACTCCAAAATGCAAATATGCAAAAAGAAAATTTGATGTTGACAGCCGTGGGACTCGAACCCACGCGGATTGCTCCACTAGCACCTGAAGCTAGCGCCATAACCACTCGGCCCTGTTTATGTAAGCATGTGCACATAACGCAATTGTTAGTGGGGAAACTTACAGGCTGCCTGATTGACGAATTATACGAATTTTCAGCTTTATGTCTTATATATATCTTCTCATTATACGTACGGAGAGACATCGAGGTTTTAGGTCAAATTATGTGGATCTAGTTACTAAGTGAACATAATAGCGGGGTATGCGCTAAGCTATTGGACAGGGGCGGTGCACAAGACCCTACAAAATCAAACTTGCTCAAGTTTGCCTTGACACCTATGAAAGGCATATTGCTGGGGACTGTGACACATGCTTACAGTTCTTTCACCTGCATCCTTCACCTGCGGAAAGAGATCCAGAGAACGTATGTTGCGAAGTCTTAAGCGTGCTGTGATACTGCACTTTGTGACTACATTAGGAATCGTGGCAACAGTGGCATCACGAACTGCAAGGTAGGTTTACTAACCGAGTAAGTATAGTCGTGATTCTGTCATTCTTCACTGTACTACGCATTACTCCTAGTTATCATCTTTACGCTATCTCTCTTAATTGTAAAGTTGTATCCAACCTCCTCCCACATGTTTACAACTCAGCATGCTCACTAGTCTTCCAATCTAATCAAGAAGTCAGCGTCTCTCTCAGCTTCAAACCACACGCACTTACCCTTCAACCACCCCACAACAAAGTCCTTCACAAACTGCTGCGCAAACACGACCTGATTCGGTGGGAGAATTGGCGTAGTCTCATTCTTAAAAATACCATTCTCCTCCCAATGATGCACCCCGTGTGCAATCTCCAGGAACGGCTTCTCCGTCGTGCTATTCCTCTTCCTCGCCGCATCCGCGAGAGGAGTAGCCGGTCTCCAGGGATCCGCATTTCCACCAATGATGGCCAAGCGCGGGTATTCAATATCGAAGCCTCCGTACCTGTTTACCTTCTCCACGTCCGAGGGTGTCGTGATGTTGTATGAATCGACGCAGAACTGGGTGAGGTATTCGACATCCAGCGTACGCGAAACGAGCGGCATGATGTCTTTTGGTGTGTTGCCGGTCTGGATGTAGCCCCATTCGGTGCAGACTTGGTAGTTCCAGCTGCGCCAGTCGTACTCTGCAAGAGAGTCTTGCTGGTAGTAGGTCACGTTGTTGATCGCGAAGCATGCGTTCTGGTCGCCGTCGCATTCGGCGACGTAGTTGCGGCCGAAGTAGCCGATAGCATTGAGCATGATGTTCTCGAGGCCCGTGTCTTTGCTGTAACCGGCCGCGGCGGTGACGTTCTGGACGAGGGTTCTCTTTGACTCGCTGCTCTTATCGTTGAGCATAGTTGTCATGTTGTTGCAATAGCTATAACGCGTTAGGAATACCTTGTGTATGTGTGATGAAAGCTTACTTCCAGACGCTAGGAGAATTCAACTTGGGGTCCCAGCTAATGCTCTGTTAGTTCTGTATGTTGATCGATCTCTCAATGAAAACTGACTTGGTGCTCTGCCATCCGTATATCCCATTAGTCAAGACGTTGGCAAAATCTCTCTTGTCCTTGACACCTCCAAGGCCAAATGCTCCCTGAAGTTTAGCAATATCGGCGGTGCTGTTCCCGAGCAAAATTTTGTCAACCACATCCACCATCAGCTGGGTTGCCTTGACGCAGTCCGGAGGAGCAAATTGACGAATTGGCTCAAAGTACTCCCAGTAGTCGTAAATGGCCTTGGTAACACCAGACGAGGAGATGGCCCCGAAGAAAGTATCGGGGTATTCAACGCGGAGAAAGGCGGCCTGGGCCCCAGCGTACGAGCCTCCATAGACGACCCACGGAGCTGAAGGAGCAGTCAAGTCTTCGTTGATACCATCAAACTTGACATGACGGGCGAAATAATCAATTTCGGCCAGTGACTGCTCCGTGGACAAAAAGCGCATATTCTCAACCGAGAGGTCGGGTACAGGAAAGCTCGTTCCATAGTAACGGTGCTCTAGAATAACACCGAGGCCGTTCGTAGCCCGCGTTACTTGCGCAACGATACCTTTCTGGAGGAACGGCAAACGGCCGACTCCACTTGTTTCTCCAGACAAGAGGACAAAGACTGGACCTCCTGGCTTATAGTTCGAGGCGTCAAACCAGTACCTGAGCGGAAATGTAGCATTGGAATGAGGCTCATAGCGTGTGTCATTGTGAAAGAAATCCACAGGAACCGAAATATTACGTGCTGGATATAATGTTTCCAGGTCTACATCGCGTTTGGTGAGTGGTGCCTTGCGCTGCTCGACCTTGACAAGCAATTAGAGTAGGCCAACACAGGCATTTGGTGCAACTCACCTCTTTCCTCAATTGAGAGACAGGCTTTCGGCCATTGATCAGTGCCGCTGTAGCCTGTAGCCCGCAGAGCAGACAAAAAATAAGGGAGGAACGCATGGCCAACGAAGCTACGAAATCACAAGCGGGGAGAGGCAGGCGGCCGCGAAAAGTGTGCTACCTTGAGCCCAATATATATAGAATGACGACGACGATGGATAGTTGATGCATGGACAAGGGTAGCTTCATGGAGCTGTTCATCCATGCAGCTCAGCCATGTTTCGGGAAGGTCGCCAGGAACGGTCTATGCTCGAAGAAGCAGGCGACTACCGTATCTACGGACGGAAGAACTCACGTTGGGCGCATCGAGCTATGTTGGTACAACAGCCGAGAACCGAGACAGCGAGTTATGGTACAATTATTATGGTACAGTTATCACGAACGCTTTGACAACTTCATCGTTGAATGGGTGTGCTTTGCTGGATGCCTGCTCGCACGCGGGGCGATCGAGGAAACGCCAAGATGCCAAGAGGGCCATTCGGGATTCAGCCAGTCAGAGCCCCCTGGCCTTCTCCCCAGGCTATAACCCCGAGTGCGAACGAGCTCCGCAATCAGGCACACGACAACCAAGGTGCAAGTCAACATGGGCTTAAGCAATCCTTCGGCTGACAAAATATATCGCAAGCACTTTATTCCTTTGGAGTCCAACCCAGAAGTCTTCACCGAGCTGATCCACAAGCTTGGCGTCTCCCAGTCACTCTGTTTCCAGGACGTGCTATCTTTGGATGACCCAGAGCTACTGGCATTCTTACCACGGCCAGCTTTTGCCTCGGTCCTGGTCTGCGCGACAACCGACGCTTACAACAAGCGGTGTGAGGAGGAAGAGGCTAGATTAGGTGCATACGAGGGATGCGGCGAGGACGATGACTTTGTCTTCTTCAAGCAGACCATCAACAACGCTTGTGGGCTGTATGGAATCTTACACGCAGTGTGCAACGGAAATACCAGGAAGAGCATCGGTAAGCCTAAGCTGCAATGCTCTATCAAGTGTACATGACCTGAATGCTTATGATACTAGGCGATGATTCGGTTCTAGGCCACCTTCTGAAGCAGTGTTTACCTCTCAAGCCGGATGAGCGGGCATTAGCCCTCGAGGATAGCAACGAGCTTGAGAATGTCTACGCATCTGTTGCAAGAAAAGGCGATACCACCGCTCCGGAGAGCCCAGAAGATGAAGTCGACTTTCATTACTTCTGCTTTGTCAAGTCCGGGAAGAACGGACATCTTCTTCAAATGGATGGGGAACGCGCACGCCCAATTGATTTAGGAGAGCTCGGGGCTGAAGAAGATGTCCTCTCCGAGACGTGCTTGAAGGTTATTCGGGCTATGGTCGCCGAGAGCACAAACGGCACCGACTTGAATTTTGCCCTCATGGCTCTGGTTCCCGCTGATCATAATTGAAGGTCAGTATCCTCCTAATTCATAGCTTGTACCGATTCCGCGATTCCTCATCGACGACTGCCCTGGTGGCAATAACCCAACAAGGCCACACAGGTCTATGCAGCGACGGATCGTGTAATGCCATAGGAAGCACTGAGTTATCTCGCTCTTTACAAGTTCAACACGGCAGTGCCGAATTCACAATGGAAGAGTATTTGGCTTCGACTGGCCTGAGCTAGGCTCTCACAATGCCTTTGGTCATAATACAATAACGAACATTATATTACACCCTGTCCTCTATTTATACCCCCAAAGAATAACCACAGAGCTAATAATACACATTCTGACCAATTAGGACGGGCACGTCGCTGTTTCAATTTTGTTCTCACGGAGGGTCGCCTTAGTGGGGATGCAGTGTCCGGTTTGTACTTTCTTGGAGGATCTCGCGCGAGGCTTTTTAGTCTTCTTTGATTTAGGGTCTGTGTTATGGCCCTTCGATTCTGCAATGCCTCCGCGTTTGAAGACGAACCCAGACTCAGGCTGGCATATCGACGACTCACTATCGGCCACTACCGCGCAGACTTTTACGCAGCTCCGATGGCCTGAAGTGGATTTGTATCTTGCCACAATGCATTCGTATGTTCCGGTACAGTCCGCTGTTTCTAAACATTCTTCAACATGCAACTTCCCCTTCCTCGAGTGCCTTACTGTGTCCAAGATTTCGAATGTAGCGTTGTAGTTTGGGTTGAGCGATGGATTTTCACCTAAGTCGATGACGATTGGGTACTCCTTCCGTGGAGGGGGAGCTTTGGTTTCTGTATCGTTGACTCGGACAGCATAGCCGACTGAATTATGGACGCAAAGCGATGTATCGGTCCACGTAGCCGCGGCGGCGTCTCGCCATAGCCGGCTCATATTGTACGCATTGGCAAGGGTATAGTAGATACGACACTCTGCGGCCTCGTACTTGAACTGGAGTGGGATTGGGTCGTCCTGGCGCATCTGGTCTCGAATGTTGAGAGTGGCATAATCGATCCACATCCCTGTGTCTGTTCGATTGGGGAGACGAGAAAATGCGGTCGTATTATTCAGAGTTTCGTTTACCCCGGTAAAGTCGGAGTCGAGCTGAGCGGAGGTATACGAGTGTGCTCCGCGATTGCCACTTGCTGTTTGCATCGGTCCGTCCGTTGGTCGGCCGCCCGCGACGATCGTATGGACGCCGGCATAGTGGGCCATGAGTTCCACGAAATAGGCGCAGGCTGAAGAACATAATCCGTCGGTAAGCTAGCTCAAAT